CGTGTCCATGGTGGAATTCTCATAGGAGGTCCTTTTGTAAAACTGAAACAATAAAATGCTATCCTGTCACAGAAATGAAGAGCAAGGAAGCCCGGGTCTCTACCTTGGTCGAGGGAGGGAAAAAGAGAGAGAAGTAGCTTTCCCTAGTCATTTGAAGTGTAAGCTAGTTTGCAGTTTGAGTCACATAGCCTCTGTAGTGTTCCAAGAGATCTCAGGGATACTGGCTGAGCAAACACAGACCCTCTCTAGAAGAACTGGAGTTCAGGCCAGAGCAGTGGTGAGTGCAAAACACCAGTTGTTAGACGTTTCCTGATTTTAGATATGCTAAATTGTGAAAGAAAGGCACAATGGTGGAATTCTCTTTACATGTAGGAAACATAGGTTTGATTTCTGGTCAATGTATCACCTGTTTGTGGATGTTTGTATATTGTTACAATGCTGAAAAGGTCTCAACCGAGCTTCCAGTTTATAATGGATTAGGAAGAAAGACCTGGTAACTATTTCTGAAAATCAAGCAATGAAAAGCCTATGGATCACAACAGTCTGTCCTGCAACCAATCGTGGGGAGAGACCATGCAGTGGTCATTTAACTGCACGTAGGGTGACCATGCATGGGGACTGACTAGATGGCAGTTAATAGAATAAAAATGTGAAAACATGTGCAAATTGGAATGACTGGAGCATTGTACATTTGGATGCTTGGTGAACACCAAGACAGGGCAGAGTGGGTAGCACCGAGTTAGACACCACTGTCACCATTTAGCAAATGCTTACTCAGTGCCAGGGGCTGGGAGGGGTAATCCCCCGTATTCATTCCTGTTGGCCTTCCCTTACAGGGACTAGTGTCGTTATTGCCTTTTTCCAGCAGAGGAAGTCAAAACAACTTGCCTAAGATTGCACAAGCAGTGAGTGGTGAGGCTTGGATTTGAACCCATGCTCTTTTCCAGTATCCTGGAAGTGGTACCCATCAGACAATTTTTTTTTTTGAGGTCAAAATTATGTTTATTACAGCATTCATGGGCCTACCTCCTCCATAAATAAATCTGCACAGAGTTGGGAAGTAGAACCATGACAGAAGAGAGCAAGGGATTAAGGCTCAGAGATCAGATCATGTCATCACTCAGCAGCCACCCATTTTCATGTGCATGAACAAGACTGTCGGGAGCTCCAGTGAGGTGAGAATAGCGGACTCTCAGAATGTTGGGGTCAGATGTAGGTTCAGTCTATGAACCAGGTCCAAAAGTTCCAGCCTTTTCTGCGACCTCCAGGGCTAGCTTTAGATTCTGGTCAAACAACTCACAGCTGATAGGCATTTCCAGGGAGTAGAATGGATTCTTGAGGGCATGTTGTTGTTGTTGTTGTTAAGTGCCATCGAGTCGGGTCCGACCCATAGCGACCCTGTACAGGGTTTCCGAGGGTGTAAATCTTTACGGGAGTAGAAAGCCTCATCTTTCTCCCGTGGAGCGGCTGGTAGTTTTGAACCGCTGACCTTAAGGTTCGCAGCCCGATTCGTAACCACTACGCTACCAGAGTCTGAGTAAATCTCATGAATCTTTCCAAAGAAGAGAATCAATTCCAGCTTGTCTAGGATCCGCCAGCACCACAAACTTAATCTCTGACAGTGTCTGGAAGCAGTGTAGTTTGAATGTATCTGTCTCTAGCATCTCAATGCCTGAGCTGCCCTGTTCAGGAGACCCCTGGGAACCATGGCTAAGAGCCAGTGGAACATGGAGGCCAGCATGAGCTTCTCATTGGAGGTGAGGTAGGGCCAGTGGAATCGAATGGACACCGGGTAATTAGCAGGGTTGCCAAGGTACTCTAGCACCTCCTTCCTGTTGGCTGTGTACTTTCCATTCATGTCCGTCCCATTGATAGCCACCCGGATGCTGTCGTGCTGATCGAAGGAGACCAGCATGTGCTCGTAGCAGTAGATCAAACATTTTCTCAGCCTTTTCCCATGGCGTGTAACTATCTAGCTGATAGATATATCAGGCTGCCAGCTTTGTTTACCACTTACTTATACACTAAAAATTGCCATTGCTGCTGCCACGGCCCTAGAACTCAGGTTCCACTCATCAGTTCCAGTAAAGCATCTATTGCTTTACCAGTTACCATTGAGGCAATTATGACTCATAATGCCCCATGTGCTCTGAAGTAAAGCTGTGCTCCATAGGATTTTTAGGGCTATGACCTTCAGAAGCAGATTGGCAGGTCTTTCTTCTGAGGTGCTCCTGGGTGTTAGAAGTTAGAAGTTCAGTGCGTAACTGTTTGGGCCACCAGTGATTCCAGCTCCTGCCTAAATAGAGGCAATTTCTCAACCAGACTCGAAATGGCTGTGCAGTCATCTGTTGTCCAGTGCTCTTGGTTGTGCTTGGCAATCATACACTTACCAGCTTGGCAATCATACACTTACTCTAATGAGGTCAGCAGTGAGCACAAGGAAACAGTATTCAATAGCATCTTCCAGGTGACTCTTCTTGGAAAGAAGTTAGTATAAATATCCTATCTCTACACTAGCATTTTCTAAAAGATCTGTAATATGACCAGCCTCCAATCGCTTTTCTCGTTCATGACCTGCCTGGCCTCAATCTAGGGAAACAGCAGACCCCCGTCTCAGAGCTATGTAACCCTCAAGTGCTGGCTGGAGAGGTGGACCCTGAATTATGAGTAATATATCCCCTCCCTTAGAGAAGACAAACTGACTGTTATTAAAATCTACCACAATGCAGGTGGTGGTACTGGTGACTGAGCAAATCCTGCCACCATGCAAATCCAAAGGAAATGCACAGGAGGAAGGTATGATTTAGGATGTTCATTTGGAGTAGCTGGTCTTCCTGTAATATTGGAGCCAAGATACTACCTGAGTACTTCCACAACAAATGGGAAATTTAGCCTAAAATGACCACACCTACTAATAAAATAAATTTGGATTCCTTTTTTTTTTTTTTTTTTTAAAAGATGCATTTCAGTCTCCTCTCAGTTCAGTGAGCAGAATCCCTTGATCTGCCAAATTACTAAGGAATAACCTTATCTTCTGCTTGTTAAAAATCACTACTTTCTTAGGGGCACTCTTGGAAGGTATAGACTACTTCATCATGCTATTGTTGTTGTTGAAGCATTATTTTAAAAAGGACCATATTTTTGAAGTTAAAAAAATACACAGAGACTGGGAGGTGTCTGAGAGATAGTTGTGCCAAAAGGGGCCAGAAAAGGGACATGTGTTCCCCGGAGGTCTTGTTGGTAAATGGCAGAGCTGGTCTTCTGAGGACCAGCTGACTGGGTAGTCAGCCAATCTAAGGCAGCTGGAGGTTCTGGACAGCTTCTGCCGAACAGAGCTCCCTAGGACTACCTTGTCTGTATTAGGGCCTGCGTCTCTCAAGTACGGCAGCTGTGGGCAGGTAGATCTATAGTGCTCAAGTCATCTATAGGAGGGAAATGAAAGGCCCACACTCTGTGAGTGGGACAGGCCTAGGGTGCCTACCTGCCCAGGAAGTTGGTCCCAATCAGCTAAGGGAAGGCAGGGGTGGAGAAGTAGGATCTAGTGCTAAAATGGAACTTTGCTCAGGAGTCAGTTCCCAGGTGCCAAGAGGGGACCTTGTGAAGGTGGATTTGGAATGTATGGGTTAGGCCTTCCTCCAAGCCTCTCCTTCTGCACCCTCCATTAGGGAGTGACTCACAGTTGCAGAAAGGGTGAATCATGTGGGTTACGAAACCAAAGGTCTCCTGAAAGGAAGGTTGGAAGGACCTCAGGAAACCTTCTCAATAGATCTTGCCCTGGTCCCTCCCAACTTCGGCCTCTCACTTCCACCTTCATCTGCCAAGCCACAGACTCAGGAAAGTGAGGTCTGCCAGGCACTCTAGCAAAGTGACTGCTTCTGGAGGCTAAGCACCAGATAAGCTGAAGGTTTCCTACATACCTCAAGGCCTTCTTGGCCTTTTTACACTTCTGAAGGATTTCCGTGGAAGGCTAGCTTTCTGCATGTGAGGGCTGGGAGGAGAGACCCTGCAGCAATCTTTACCTCTTCCCATTTGCTTGCTCAAGGTGCGACACATCCAGAATGCTCAGGATACTCCACAGCAGGGCCAAGAAAGATTCAACTCTCTCCCACTAGCTGGCCCAGTCTAGTGGGTGCTTCCAAGCTAGACAGGGCCTAGACTGTGGCAGGCCCCTGGCTCATGAAAAAAAAAAACAAAAACGTTTAGTGAGAGCTCATGGAATCTCCAAAACAGGCTAAGGAGCAGATATTATTCCCATCTTACAGGCTGAGCAGTTGTACACAACAGGGACACTACTTGGCTAAGTTCAAGCAAATATTGAGTGGGTAGTCTAGGGATTCACCTGCAAACCAACAAGTTGCAGGACTGTCTGCTTCAGGTGAATTCTCTCAGGTTTCTCCTATCCACTCATGTAATCAGCTAATTTGCCAAACGCTTTTGATCCACATTCAACCTGCCCTTTCAATCAGGTTTGGTTCTGAGGGAGGGCTTTCAGCGCGTTTATTTCCCACTACACCCCAGAACTCTTGCAAGGTCTAACCCTAAGATGAGGAAGGAAGGCCACCTAGCCTCTCAGACTATAACTCCGTGCCTGCGACCACCCAGGGTGGCTGCCTAGGGGAGAGTGTGTCCACCTGAGCCAATTAGCTTGGAGGATGGGGGCTCACCTGAGGCCCTCCCTCTTTGATACTCCCCGTTCCTACTAGAACTCGCGGGACCAGTGCTGCAACTTGGGCCATCCTGTGTCCCGAAAGTACGCTGAGAAGTCCCCGGTGGCGGGAGCCTTTGGAGCTACTACTGGTGCTGCCCTACGCTGGAAGAGTGGTGGGGTGGGCTTGAGTGGCCGGCCGCAGGCGCGCGAGCCGAGGGGTGGCCGCGGGGAAGCTCAGGCGGGAACGCGCCGCGGTCGCCGCCTCCTTCCCCGGCGTGGACGGCTTTAAAAGGCGGCACCCCACCCCCTTGGCGCACTAGCTGCTCGGGCGCCGCGCGAGCCTGCCGCTGCCATGCCTCCGCGCGCGCCGCGGTCCCGGCTGTCGCCCCGGGCTGCAGTCTCTGCCTCCGCGGGTTCAGAGGGCGCTGGGGCCGCGCGAGGCCCTGGTGGGGCCCGCTTCCTGCTGGCGCCGAGCGCCCGGCGCTGGCTGCTGCTGCTCTCGCTGTCCGTCGCCTGCTCCGCGCTGCCGCCGCCGCGCCCCGTCTACACCAACCACTGGGCAGTGCAAGTGCTGGGCGGCACGGCGGCGGCGGACCGCGTGGCCGCGGCGCATGGCTACCTCAACTTGGGCCAGGTGAGTGAGGCCGCCCAGCGCGCCCCAAACTTTCCCCGCCCGGCGGGCGCAGCGAGGCAGGAGGGGGCGCCGCACACGAGGCTGGGGCGCAGGGGCGGCCTAGACGCCCGGCGGGAAGGAGCCGCTGAAGCGCGGCGCGCGGGGCTGTTGACAAGGGAGGGCGAGGTGGTCCTCATGGGCTTCCACGGAAACCGGACGCGCGGGAGGGAGCTCCCCGGGCGGTGCCACCAGGCTCTGCAGCCTACAAGTGTGGTCTCCAAGCCGAAACTGCTGGGGACACCTGCCGACCGGGTGTGAGAGGGAGCCTGTTCCCGGGGGGCGAAGTGGGGGCGCTCACTGTCCTCAGGCATGGCTCTCTGCGCCCTCCACCTGGTTCGTGGCCCAGGAATCCCGGTCCTGCCACCTCGCCCCTTGTGTCTTCGATGGACTCGGAGCTCCGAACTCTGAGCAGGCTCCGTGCGGTTTCCTAGGTGCTAGTGTTGGGTGTAGGGGACGGGTGCGTGTCTGCGACTGTGCGGGAGGGAGGGTCATTTAACGTCCACCTCTCAGGGCTGGCCAGGAGGGTCCTGCGTTAGAAACCTGGGGTAGGCAGGAAAGTTGCTGTTATTTTGTTTCTGGGGTCCTGTGAGTAGTTCTGTATATTAGCTCTGTGACCCCAGCAAGTCGCTTCTTCTGAGTTGCTAGCCTTTCTCGTCTATGGAGACAGGGAAGGTGCCTGTTGTTGGGATGATCTGAAGAGATCCTGTTAGAGAGTGCTGGCATACTGTGCCTCAAGTCCCCCCTCCCCTCCCCCCCCTCCAAAAAAAAAAAGTTGGCAGAGCCAGCCAAAGCAAAAAAAAGTTGTCAGGGCCAGTTAAAGCGCTTGGGGAGGGAGGTTTGAAGGGGATTTATGACAGAGGGGCTGAAGAGTGTGGTCCCGCAGGGGAACTCTTCCTGCATCTCACAAATCTAGCCAACTGCACACTCTCAGAGGGTGTAGTGAAGTGACAGGGGCGCGCTGCTTCATAACTCAAATCCTAGTGCCAGGCAGCGTTCAATTTAGTTTCATCATTATCCCTGACAGAAGCCAGCACAGTGTAGTGCAACCCCAATATAAATGACATTTCTTCTGTGTGTGAAGTGCCATACTGATACTACTAACAGGAGATGCGAGGTGCATTGCTTACCGGAAGAGTCGAATCTGCCATTTGAACTACACTTCACACAGAGGGTCAGAGTTTATCTGAAAAACCAAAGAAATGCAACTGTGTTTTTTGTATATCCTTTTCTCTGTTCTGGCCAGATCTCTTCAAACATCCTGAGATTTAAGAGTCTACGGTTTAGTAGCACAGACTCGTTTCTGTGTGTAGCTCCTAAATCTTCTGGCTGGTTGTCCAGAGTGAAGATGGTGTTCCTCAGGGTTCCACCCTGGTCATGACCCCTCTTGTTTGCTTAGGGCTCTGGCTTCTGCCACACTTGGCTCTCTTGTCCAGGTGCCCCACAATTTGTCTCAAGCTAAAAGTGACTCTTGAACAGCCTAGTAATTGACAGCGTGTAGGATTCTGGTTCCTGTCAGAGGGAGCTGAAGTTGAGCTGTGAGTCTCTGGACCCTGCAAGAGAAGCAGAGACTCCATTGAATTTCTCTTGCAGTTCCTACTCGTAGGGTACAAAAATGCCTGACCTCTGGCCATGCCTGACCTTTGGACCAACTTAAGTCAGACTCATGGAGTGGCTGATACCCAGTGTACTCCCACATTTTGCCTGTGGAAGCTTCCTCTCCATAGTTCCTCCCTCTGCCCTGGGGGCGATTGGGGAGTCTCTGCAGAGTGTGGCCAGTGTGGAGTCCCCGGCCTAATCATGTGGCAGTGCTGGGGAGACTTACTTTTACTACCGAGGAAGTAGTTTGCTGAAAACACCAGCCATCCCAAAGGCAAAGAGGGGCTCCTGTGTGTGATTACAAGGAGGGCCTATTACTCTTTATTCCCCAACCAGCTTGTTTCTTCCTCCTCTAAGTGCATGCTAATGTGGAAAAGGCCTGAAGCAGTTCTGTGTCTACCCACTCAATAAGAACTCTTTAAAGAAAACCTTATTTGCCTTTTTTCAGCCAATAGAGTTTGTGACTCATAAATAAGACTTAGATATTATTAGCTTTACTTTATAGATGAGTAAACGGAATGAAGCAAGGGAAGGGAGCTGTTTGTGTCCACCCAGCAGCATGTGTTACCTCTGTCAGTTTTGCCCCCTGCTCTGTGTCTCCAGTCATCTTTCCTGGTCTAAGATCTCCTCTGTGTGACTCTCTCCCCAAACCCTTAAAGGGCAATTAGTGGTAGCTTTGTACCTGCTCTGACTCACAGAGTTCTGTGTTGTGTGCTAAGTCTTGCTTGATTATTTTACTTTCTTTCATATAACTGATTTGTTTATTTTACATGGTCCAATGGTAATTTAGAGTAGGCGTTGTCACCTTTCTGGATTCATGGATCCCTTTCAGAGCCTGAAGACTGAATTTTCTCCATTGAAAAACACGCAGTATCAGGAACAAACCAGGCTCGTTTCTCGTTGCCCCTCTATTCAGCATTGTGGAGTCTTGGTGTGGCACTGTAGAATAAGCACTGGACTTCTAGCCTCAAGGTTGGTGGTTCAAACCCATTAGTTGCTCCTTGGAAATCTTATACAGGATCACTCTGAGTCAGAACTGAATCCTCAGCACTTAACAACAATAACAACGTTGTCTTTGACAACTTCAATCTTTTCTCCATTTATCATGATGTTATTTATTGGTCCAATGGTGAGGATTTTTGTTTTCTTTACAATGAGGTGCAACTCATACTGAAAGGTATGGGTAATATAACTACTGACATAGACAAACCAAGAGAAGCTAGTGACTATTAGAACTACAGGGGTGAGTCAAAAATGACCCTCACTCGTGTAGATAGTACCTGCTTGACTTGGCTTCAATGGCTGGATGATCAGAACTCAACTAGAAGAAGAAAGGGGCGGGGGACGGGGGATAACCTGCTACAATTTGATGAACTTTACCTATACTTATGGATGTAGCAGCCCAAAAAAGGGAACAAATCTTTACAGCAAGGATCACTCCAACCCCCCTTGGTACGTAGGGTTGACAGAGATGGCCAACTTAGACATTGGCTATCCAAAATGGGGGGGGCCTATAAAGGCAAGAAATGACTGGCTTACAAGCTTTCAAGAGGAAGTCTTGTTCCAGATGGGGCAGGGGAAGGTAGAATCACCACTGAATAATTTCCAATCCATTGGGACCAGGCTGGAGAAAGGAAATGGAGATAAGACTCTTGAGGTACAATAGTGAATGATTGCCATCAGGACTGACTGTGAGGATATGAAATATAGAGGTAGATGTTTTTTGACCAAAGGAGGAAAGTGACTGATTTTGCAGCCCAGGAGCGGTGGTCTGTGGGACCATCAAGTGAGAAGAACAGGACCCTCCCCAGAGAGGTAGTGACGCCAGGAATGGGAGACAGACGATGATGTAGACAGATGGAGCGGCTAGGGACACTAGACTCAAGGAGGGAGAAGGGCTGTGTGCTGACAACTGGGGGGTGGGGGCGGGCCTGTGTGGTGTACCCTTTGGTTATTTGATGATGCGTGGAAGGGTTGGAAATCATTGCAGTGAAATGAAATACGATAGGATGAGTGTAAAGCTGATGTTCTCCCATGTAAACCTCACAATAAAAACTTTAAAAAAAAAAAAAATTAACCTTCTCTGGTTATATTAAAACACCTGTCCATGTCCCCAGCTGATGACAGCGTGGAGCGTGCATGAAATGATTCTGTGGAATAGACGAGTGACAGTGGATTATGTGGCAAATCAGCTGTACTCTGTTTATGAAATAACCCACAACATACTTAGGTTTTGAAAAGTTTGTGCAAGATGAGTACTGAAATAACTAATAGAAGAGCATAAACAGCTTTAGACATCTGCAGACAAAATCTGGACTGACACCCAAAGAAAATACGTTTCTTAATTGGTACTGGGGACGAGACTTGGATTCATCACTTCGAGCCTGAGAGTAAATGGCAGAGTACGGAATGGAAATATCCTCAATTGCTGACCAAGAAAAAGTTGAAAAGTCAACCATCCCCTGGAAAAATGATGCTTACACTTTTCTGGGACTATCAAGGGCCAGTATTGGAACACTATCAAGAAAAAGGTTCAACAATCAACAGTGCTCATTACAGTGAGATGCTCACTGAAGAGCTGAAGCATATACTTCAGATTAAATGCAGAGGACTTTTATCCAAGGGTGTTGTGATCTTGCATGACAATGCATGTCCACACACCTCTGCCCGCACTGTTGACATTCTGTAAAAATTCCTTTTGAGGTGTTAAAGCATCCTCCCTATAGTCCAGATCTTGTTCCATCAGACTTTCACCTGTTTGGTCCCCTGAAAGCAGCCCTTCGAGGATGAAGAAGTGAAGACAGCGGTGCAGTCACAGCTCACAGCTCAGCCTAAGACATTTTTTAATAAGGAAATACGAGCGCTTGTTGACAAATGGACAAAGTGTATTGAAAAGCAAGGAGATTATGCCGAAAAATTATATAGTTGTGTTTTCTAAAAGTTGATTAAAGTAAATTCTCCAGCTCGAGTGTGGATACTTTTTGACTCACCCTCATAATAGAGTTGAACAGATTGAGTAATAGTAACTACCCACCCAACAGAAACATCTGAGAAGATCATAGAAATTACAATCCACCCTAGCATAAAATCTGTAAAATACTTAGGAATAAATCTTAAAAAATAATAATAATTAAAAAAAAGACAAGTGAGACTTTTATGGAGACAATTTCAAATCCTTTAAAAATACTGAAAAAAGGTGTGAATTAATACTAAATTATATTAATAAATGAAAAGATTTGAATAAATGATATGCTATGTTCGAAGTCCTGGTGTGGCACTGTGGGTTAAAGTGCTGGACTGCAAAGTCGGTTTGAACCAGAAGGTTGGTGGTTCAAGTTCACTACTGCTCCTTGGAAACCTTATAC